CCCGCACCCCCGCCAGGCGCATGTCTGCACCTCCGCTTGCCAGAGGCCCTCGGTCAGCGACTGGATGCTCGCCATCAAGGTCCAGTGGAAGTTCTTCAAGAGGAAAGGCGCCCCCGCCCCAGGCTTCCGCGCCCAGCGCTCGCCACGCTCAGTGCCCGTTTTACCAATAAACTGAGCGACCCCGAGCCGTGTGCGCCTCCTGCTGGGGGGTCCTGCTGGGGGGGTGGGCCCCGCCCGCGCTCCCCGGAGCCCCTCCCCGCCCGGGTGGCCAGCCCAGCATCTTTTACTCCCTGCCTGGGGACCCCAGGGTGAGCGCTGAGCGCTGGGTGAGGAGTGCCTGGTGCCCCCCAGGCCGTGGCCCAGCACCAAGCTGGCCTGGGTGGCTGTGAGGGGCTTCGCCATGGCTACCCAGCGCGGAGAATGGTCCCTTCAGATCCACAGAACGGGGCTGCGGGTTTCGGGATCTCTGGGGGCCGCATGAGAGTTGAGGGCTTCTCCGCCCAGAGTCACTGTCACACACACTCGTTCTTCCCGTGGTCCCGCACTTCTGGTCTCGCTCTCCTAAGCTGGTCACCTGTGGCCGGAGTCCGCACCTGCCCATCCTGCTCCTGGGTCCAAGCCTTCTGTACATGGTTGTAGGAACTCCAGCCCCTGAAACCGAAAGACTGGTGACTTCAGTCGTGGGCTGGGGGCTTTGCGTCTTCCCTGGGGTCCCTGGTCTCTCTGGGCTAGAACCTGCCCCGACCCCGGCTGGCCAGGGTGGAGGGGTGGGGAGAGGGGAGGGCAGCTCCTTTCCACCCCTCCCTGCTCCGGGAAAGTGGCCCCGGCCCACAGCCAGTCATGCTGCAGCAGGTGAGGGTGGGGTGGAGGATGGGCAGGTTCCCTGAGGATGCAGAGGAGGGTTGGAGTGGAGGGAGGGCAGCCTCCCTGAGGATGCAGGTGAGGTCAGGGTGGAGGGTGGGCAGGCTCCCTGACCCTGTACACAGCACTGAGGTGGGCCCGTCACCCACCCCCAGCTGCCCGCCTGCAGCTGGGTACCTGACTGGGAGGGTTCTCCTGCAGAGCAGGCAGGCTGACCACAAGGCCCCGTAGTGCGTTAGTCTCTTAGGGATGCTGTGACCAATGACTGCAAATGGCGAGGCCTCCTGGGGCCAAAACCAGCCTCACTACTGAAATCAAGGTGTCAACAGGGCTCTGCTCCTCTGGAGGCCCCAGGAGAATTAGTTCCCTGCTTCACCCCTTGCTGTGGCGGCCGACAGTCTGTGGCTTGTGGCTGCATCACTCCAGGCTCTGCCTCTGCCGTCACACTACTTTCTCCTCCTCTGTGTCAAATCTCCTTCTCACGAGCATGCGAGTGATTGCATTTAGGGACCACCTGGGATAATCCGGGATTACCCCATCTCAACGTCCTTAACCAAATCTGCAAAATCCTTTCCTGCCACATGCAGTCAGCCACAGATTCCAGGGTTGAGGGCCTGATATCCTTGGGGCATGTTAGACCCACTGGGCTGGGTGAGGACTGAAACGAGGCCAGCCCAGTTGACAGGCAGTGGTGACAGGGGCACTGTCTGGGGGTGCCCTTGGAGGGCCTGCTCATGTCTCTCTCCAGTCCCAAAGTGGGGTGGCCTCAAACCCACGCGAAAGGGAGGTGGAATGGGAGGAAGAGTGGAGCAATCAGGCAGGGATGTGGTTGGGCGCCTGGGCCCCCAGGTGGGGAGGATTTGAACCCACGAACATCAGAGCCACGAGGCCTCTAAGGAGGAGATACAGGACCCAGTCACATCGGGACTTTGGATATATACCAATAATTTAGTGTAAAATATTTGGGGCATATTTACACAGAAATGGTACTCCTTATTTATCTGAAATTCTGATCTGACTGGGTGTCCTGTGTTTTACCTGGTGGCCCTGCCCAAGGACACAGGTGTTCCTGATGGACCCCAGCCCATCCTGGGCCTCTGTGGGGCCACCACTGATGGGAGGCGCCGAGGGGGACCCTGCAGGGCCTGTCTGGAAGGAAGTTGTCCTTTCACACGTGACCTGGCTAGAATTGGGGCCAAATGGGAGAAATTTGCCAGCCTGAGATGGGACAAAAGTGGAAAACAGCCCCCAGCTGCAGTTGCAGAAAGCCCCCTTGGGTGGTCCCTGAGGTGCTCAGGGGTCCCCTCACCCCCATGTCCCAGTTGCAGTTGCAACCTCTGGATGACTCTGGCAGCCTTGATCACCCAGGCACTGCTGGTGGGGGGCAAGCCTAGCCTGCCTGCCACGGTCTGTGCTGGGGCCACAGTGCCCCCCTCCAGGTGCGTGTGTTTCTGGGGTGGAGAGGAGCACAGGGAGGACAGAGAGATGGGAGCACTCCCTGTTCCCACTGGGGTCCTCAGCAGATGAGAGTCCTGGCCGTGGTAGCCTGGAGGGTGGGTCTCCAGGGAGGGTCTCTGACCTCGGCTCCCCTTCTGGGGTAATGAAGGCAGGCCCAAGTCCTTGGGTCTGATGCCTGGCAGGGCTCCGGGCCTTGCTGCGCCCCACGTGCTCGGGTGGGGGGCTGTGGGGTGGGGACCGGCAGTGGCTGGAGGAGGCCGGAATCTGGGACTGGGCTCCTGGTGTCCATCGTGGGCGGAGGCAGCACACACGGTGCCAGGATTTGCCCTGCTGGATGCTGGGCAGGGGATACCCTGTGTCCAACCCACTGTCAGCTCTGGGGGGTGGAGCAGGGACTTGGCCAAAGTCTGCCCTGGGGGCCCCAGCCCTCGGTCTCTGGGGAGTTCTGGTGCCACCTACAAGGGTAGGAGGAGCTTCGAGAGACCCACGGAAGCAAGCTGTGCTCGCTCATCAGGAAGGGGGGTTGGGGGCACACCAGGCAGAGCTCTGCCTCCAGGCCAGTAATGCTCAAAGCTTTCGTCTTAGGACCCTTGCGTGGTGTTAAAAGTCAGGGAGGTTACATCTGTTGCTGTTTAGTGTGCTGGAAACTAAACGTGAGAATATTTAAGACATGAGAAAGCAGGGGAGTGTCACACCTCTTATGGCCTCTGAAAACTCCACTGTCCAAGCGAAGACGGGAGTGAGAAGCCTTGGCATTACTGTGAAAACAGGTTTTGACCTTGGGGCTTTCTGGAAGGTTCTTGGGAGCCCCAGGGGGCCTGGACCGTGTTTTGTGAACTGAGACTTTAGGCGGCAGAGCAGTGGGGAAGGCGAGGGTTGGGGTCCCAGCTCTGGTAATGGAGCCAGAGATGCCACAGTGCCCCTTCTCCATCGGTGAAAGGGGTCATATTGCACCTGCCCTGAGGGTCGGGCCAGGATTAAAGGAAGCCACGGCCTCACAGGGCCTCTGCGGCTGCCTCTCCAGCCCCCTGAACAGGGGCTGCACTGGAGGTGTGAGCTCTGGCTGCTCCCTTGGGCCCAGCGGAGGGTGGGATTTTCCCCCATAGCAGGTGGGTGCAGGGGCGTGGGGAGGGGCAGAGCTCACCGGGGTTGGGGTCAGGGCAGAATGCTCTGTGGGTGTCGGCTTGGGGAGCCTGAGGGCAGCTGGAGGGCGGTGGCAGGGTGAGGGCAGCGGACCACAGCCAGACAGTGCCCTGGAGCTCTGCAAGGTGGGAGTGTGCAGCCCCAGGGCCTCAGTGGGGTGTTGATGGATGCTTGCAGCTGGCTGGACACCTGGGCTGCTGTCTGGCTGGAGAGGGCCCCAAGGCCCAGAGAGTGGCTCCGACTGGCGGCCACTGGGACTCAGGGTCAGTCCCGGGGCTGCTGAGGCCCCAGAGCAGGTCTTGAAGTCAGGGAGGGCATGGGTGGGGGAAGGAGCTCCACCCTGCTTGGGTTGGTGAATACTTTTTTTTTTTTTTTGTGAGACGGAGTCTTGCTCTGTCGCCCAGGCTGGAGTGCAGTGGCGTAATCTCGGCTCACTGCAAGCTCCACCTCCCGGGTTCATGCCATTCTCCTGCCTCAACCTCCCCAGTAGCTGGGACTACAGGCGCCCGCCACCTCACTCGGCTAGTTTTTTTGTATTTTTTAGTAGAGACAGGGTTTCACCATGTTAGCCAGGATGGTCTCGATCTCCTGACCTTGTGATCCACCCGCCTCGGCCTCCCAAAGTGCTGGGATTACAGGTGGGAGCCACCACGCCCGGCCTTTTTTTTTTTTTTTTTGAGATAGAGTCTCGCAGTCTCCCAGGCTGGAGTGCAGTGGCACGATCTCCGCTCACTGCAAGCTCTGCCTCCCGGGTTCACGCCATTCTCCTGCCTCAGCCTCCTGAGTAGCGGGACTACAGGTGCCTGCCACCACGCCCGGCTAATTTTTTGCATTTTTAGTAGAGACAGAGTTTCACCGTGTTAGCCAGGATGGTCTTGATCTCCTGACCTCGTGATCTGCCTGCCTCGGCCTCCCAAAGTGCTGGGATTACAGGCGTGAGCCGCCGCGCCCGGCCGGGTTGGTGAATATTTTAAAACAGGATCCACCAAGACACCCTATTGGCGGCTTCGGTCTGCACTTCGGACATCACTGAAAAGTTCCTGAGGCCTCAGGAAGGCTGCGGGGCCCTGCTGAGTGGCCAAATGCCATCCGTCCCCTGCCCTTGTCTCTGTCGGTAAGGACCGACAGTAACCTTGTAACCCAGGCAGTAAGGACCTTTGCACCCCACTCCAGGTTCCCAGGGTGGCTGGAAGGGCCTGGGTGCCCCTGGCAGTCCTGGGTTTGAGCAGCGGCTTCTGGGCTCCCTGCCAAGGGGCTGGGCTTTGTGGCAGCCGGTCGGGCCTCCACGATGGGACGCTGGGGACTTCCCACGTGTTGTGACTGTCCTTGTGGGTGACTTATTGTGTCCCGGAGTGGGACTGCAGGCATGGGGTTACATCCACACCCTGGTGATGTATGTGACCTGAGTGAACTGTGCATACCTGTGAGTGACTGTGTGGGGTGCAGGGGAGAACTTGGCGGGGGGTCCTGGAGCCCCTGGAAACAGGGTGTATGTGCTCGTGTGTCTGTTCATTTGTGCCTGCGTGTCTGTGTGTCGGGCGTCTGGCTGTGCCTGTGCTGCTGGCTGGCCGCCTGGAGTCAGGGCTGAGTCTCTGGGGGGTGCCCACCGGGTGGCTGGACCCAGAAAGCACTGGGCAACGGTCCCTGTCCAGAAGCCAGGGAGGGAGAAGCTGGCTGGGGGACGGGCTGGACTGGCAGGTGCATGGGCCTTGAGGCAGCTCCTGACTCTGTTGAGGGGAGGGAGGGAAGCCCTGTCCCCATGAGAGGGTCAACCAGGAATGTCAGGGGTCTTTGGAGGAGCTGTGGGGTCTGGCTTATTTCCTGGCTTCATGCTGCTCTGGCATTTTGCTTTGGGGGTCGGCTGGGGGAGGTGCGGACGATGCTGAGGAGGATATGTGAGGCTGAGAACAGCTCCAGGATGGAGAGCAGATGCGGGCGGGGTCAGCGGCCCCAAACCAGGGCCCGGGCTGGGTCTGTGGGGACCCCGAGGCAGGGGCGGGAGGCACCAACACCCAGAGGAGGGGGGAGAGGGTGGGGGTCCTGGATGGTGTGGGGTGGGAGCAGGAAGGAAGCCCTTGCCCCTGGACCCCTGCCCAAACGTGGGTCCTGGTTTGCAGGCCTCCTGCTGCAGGACAGCAGTTCCTAAGAGCCTGTGGGCCTCCTGCAGGGACAGGACTGGAGCTGTGGGTGTGGCAGGAGGCAGAGCTCCCAGGCAGGACCAGCCTGGAGGGGTTGGAGGGACAGGAACCAGCGCCCCCTGCCCTGCCCATCTCCCTGAACATGTCGGGGGAAGGAGCCCCAGGCTCTGCCACACAGCCTGTCATGGGGAGGGGCTGGCAGCTCTGCCCCAGGCTCTGGCAATGAGGACCCTGCCAGTCACTGTCTGAAGCCAGGTCAGGCCAAGCCAGCTGCCAGCTGTGAGGTTCCAGGGCTCAGCTGCCTGCGGGGAGGGGCGGTGCTGAACTGGGGAGTTGGAGGGAACGGTGGGGGGCAGGGGAAGGAGAAATCCCCCGAGTCCCACAGTGGGAGGCTGTAAGATCTCCCTCTCCATGTCTTAGTCTCTGTAAACCTTTTACCCTCCAGGGTGTGGGGAGCAACCTTCAACTGTAAAGGGGTCCCTGGGCCCCGCCCTCCCCGAGGCTGTGGCTGCCTCCAGGGTGGGGGTTTCTGGCACTTTAGGGGCCTCCATTGACCGCCTCCCACTGCCCTTTCTTTACACCGCATTGCCCGACACCCAGGCCTTCACCTTGGGTGTGAGGCGGGTGGCACACAGCGGGGCATGGTGCCCACGGGGCAGCCGGGAGCTGACTCAGCATCTTTACCTTCCCGCTCACGTGACGCCTCCTCCTGCCGCTGCTCGAGACGCTTTACAAACCTTGCGCCATTCCTCCATCAGCGCAATCCTTATCGACGGTCAGCACCCCCACTTCACAGGTGAAGAGGTGGAGGTGCGGGGAGATCTGGCAGCTGCCCGGAGCCACACAAACTAAGCTCGCAGTGAGTGAGACACAGCAGTGGCTCCAGTGTCCTGCGATGATGTAAAAGCAGCATTTTCCCATCAGGCTGGGAACCACCAATGCAGAACGCCCAGGGCTCCTTTGCTGAACTCCACGGCTGCCCCAACCCGACCTCACTCCTTGGGTGCTCCCCCACCCAGTGCCCGGACTCCTGGCTCCTTTCTCATGAAGATTCTCAGCCCTTGGCTTTTGTATTCAGGAACTCTTGGGAGGAAATCCATTTATTTATGCTGTTTCATGCTAAAGTGTGAATGACTAACATACCAGAACTCTTTGCTCTTTTTTTTTTTTTTTTTTTTTTTTT